TTACACAGTGTATGCCCTTCTAGCCGCAACTCATCACTGGGAAACAACTGTGCAAGTTCTCCCTCTTAAATAGATGAGAGAGGCCTTTAATTTCTATCGAATAGGTATTGACCCTTCGCTAAGCCACACTCAAAAATGGCCACACACCAATCGTGGCTTAGCAACCGTAGCTACGTGCAGGGGCTCTGTCAAGCTTTCGAGCGAGGGAAACAAGCCAAAGCATTGTGCATATGAATTGTGCAAATCTGATACCTGGTATCCCAGTCTGATCTCACAAGGAAATTAAGTATGTTACGTTTTGTCAGTTTAGTAGCTATTTCGTAGGAATTCATACAAGTTGAGTCGTACGAAAATTTACGATTTTAAAAAGGAGACGTGGCACCTAGCCCCATCCCGCCCTTAAACCCAACCATCATTGGGTGATAAGCAAATCATACTTAATTGAGTTCATGATGTTTTCACCCCCATGTTTCACAGTAGGTATGGTGTTCCTTGAATGTAACTCAGCATTCTTTCTCCTCCAAACATGACAAATTAAGTTTTTACCTAAAAATTTCTATTTTGCTTTCATCTGACCAAATCAAATGCACTCTAACAAACTTCAGACGGGTCTTGACATGTACTAGCAGCAGTCCCTGGGGCGCAGTGTGCTGTTGATGGTAGCCTTTCTTACTTTAGTCCAGTGGTCACCAAACTTGTTCCTGGAGGGCCGGTGTCCTGCAGATTTTAGCTCCAACCCAAATCAAACACACCTGAACAAGCTAATCAAGGTCTTACTTGGTATACTTGAAACATCCAGCAAGGTGTGTTGAAGCAAGTTGGAGCTAAACCCTGCAGGGACACCGGCCCTCCAGGACCAGGATTGGTGACCCCTGCTTTAGTCCCTGCTCTCTGCGGGTCATTCACTAGGTTCTGGGATTTTTGTGATTATTTTGATCCCACAGGCCGAGATCTTGCATGAAGCCCCAGATCGAGAGAGATTATCAGTGGTCTTGTGCGTCTTCCATTTTCGAATAATTGCTCCCACTGTTGATTTCTTTACACCAAGCTGCTTACCTATAGCAGATTCAGTCTTCCCAGCTTGGTGCAGGTCTACAATTTTGTTTCGGCTGTTCGTTGACTGCTCTTTGGTCTTGGCCAAAGTGGAGTTTGGAGTGTGACTGTTTGAGGTTGTGGACAGGTGTCTTATACAGATAACGAGTTTAAACAGATGCCATTAATTAACTCGAACAACTGGTGGCAGACCAAATAGTTTTTTTGCCCCACTACTGTATATAGATGGCATACAAGATTTTAGGATATTTGTATGATTTCATAATCATTGGTCTGTGCTCATATGTACATTTATAAGCTCCTACTGATCATTAATGAAAAGAGACTTGTCATTAGGCAAATATTTCATGTTGCATATTAAGTTCAATGTATTTGATATTTTTGATACCTTTACATATAGATATGTAAACAATATTAGATTAATAAGACAATCAGGAATAATAGATTTCCAATCAAATAAAAGGTATAACTTGCGTCAGAAACTTGAGCTTGAACTCATATGGTAAAACCGGCGCTCGTAATTACTTTGGAAGCCTAGTAATCTGAGACTGGTGATTATGGTAGGGGGAGTAACATTTCTGACACGCTTGAGGTGTTTGGCCAATCACAACACACTGTCAGAGCACAATCACTTCACTCTGGGCTTTTCAGAAGAAGTGGCTCTGTAAAAACAAAATGCAGGCACAGCATTTTAGACTGTACACGACTGGAAATAATGTACAGCAGGGGTGCCCAAACTCGGTCCTGGAGGGCCGGTGTCCTGCAAAGTTTCATTCCAACCCCAATTAGACACACCAGAACCAGCTAATCAAGCTCTTGCTAGGAATACTAGAAAACTTCCAAACAAGTGTATTGAAGGAAGTTGGAGCTAAACTATGTAGGACACCCCTGATGTACAGTATGTCAAAGAAAGAGTGTTTTTGACAATTCTAGTGCACCCCAGAAGCCTAAATGATCTTTTAAAACAACACGTGGAGTATTTAAAGTTAATTTCACATTATAAACGCTTTCAGACCCACATATTAAGTCCTGCATTAGTAAAGCAACATTACATGTACAAGCATATCCCTTATTGCCTTTACAGATTAGGTTACAAAACTATGAGACGTGTTAAGTAACCCTGCTCAGACCCACACCTTGACACCGAGGTAAAGTTTCACACCAAATGAACATAAATTAATCTCGACAGGCAAGGGATATGATATGCATATATTGAACATGATCTAACATTAAATTCGGCTGTGCAAAAACAAGGTAACCGTAGATGGTATGTTTAACAAAAAGAAGAGTACATAGAAAACATCATCTGATCTTGTGATTTCTTCTTTGAAAGTCTGTATATCAACAAAGATCTCGGAAAGGTCGGTTTGTGCTGAGATTATTCGAGAACAAAGATAAGTGGTGAGGATGTTCAGAAGCACAGAAACACTCATCTTGGAACAGTTTGAACTCATTTCATCAAAGAAACCGAGCACTTATAAATGTCTGAGATGAAAAGGGCACAAGAGCAAACCTTCTTACTGATAAACTTCTTGTACATTTAAACTAATGATTATGATTTAACATAATTATTATCTTAAATTTATAGTTTAACAGTCGGGTGATTTTAAAATGACTTCACATATTGGTTGTTGTCTCATGCTATACATAAAAGATTAGCAAATACAGGTCTTACTAATATTTTAATCAGTACCAAAAAGATGTTATATCCTATAGACATGTTAACATGGTAATAACTGTTTGAATTACTGTATATATACTGCATAACTTTCAGAAGGCTATGAAATTGCCATCAGGTGAATAAGTTATTCTGTAATTCACTATGGTTCAAGTGAATGACTCAGTAAGTTGATATTGAGTGAATGAATGACTTAATAAATCGTTATTGTGTGAATGAATGGCTTAATAAAATCGACATTGTTTGAGTGAATGATTCAGTGATTCATTATTGCTTGAGTGAATGACTCTCCTAACTAAGAAAGATTGAAAGCAAAACTTTTCTAACATTTAAAAAAAAAAAATAAAAATTAACAGCATGTAAGTTATGTAAAATTATTTACCAGGCTCATTGGAAATACGTCCTTCAGCCTACCTTTTTTGTAAAAGTTGCATGTTTCAAAGGTCAAATCTACTAGAGGGAGCTGTCAACATTTTTACAAGTCTGAAATACTTTACTTGTGGTTCAGATAAACATTATTTTGTACACGTCCATGAAAATGTGGGGCTTGTTGTACAGATCACCTATCCAAATGCTGACCCAAACCTTTCCTAAACCCAACCAATAGTTATTTCAGAAGCAATCATAAGAGAAAAGTGGACTGTTTTCATTGTTTTTATCCCTTTTGTGGACCCATGTTTACCAACTCAAACCCATGTAATCTGTATTACAAGTGCAACAATGTACAAGGTGAGCTACTGAGCAAACTGACCATGCCAGAAAAGTTGTCCATATAAAGATAGTCAGGTGAGGCAAACATATTTGATTATAATTCACAGACAACTATACGTTTTTGTGGCTATTGATTGGTAGCTGCATGAAAATCCATCGATAATGTCCCTGTAAATATTATTAGTGTGAAAAGGAGCTAACATTTTTAACAACACACTGCCGCGTAGCATTTATTTTACCTAAAAACTAGTCAAAAGCATTTAAAATGATGTCTAAACTGTTTACTTAAACTATAACTGAATCTGACTTGAGATTTAAGGACAAATAATATGCATATGCACAGTATAATAAAACAGAATTCTATATGAAGTGCCTTGTATTCCTTAATGTATGGTATATCTGGGGTCTGAGGTATTATCCAATACCATGCAACATTGCTGGAAAAAACAGTAAGCTCACAGATTAAGTGGATTGATGATGTTATTTTAGTGTTATAGTTAATACTATATCATGTCACTGCAATTTGGAGAGCTATAATGAAGCTACTCTCATGTCTTTTTACTGCATAACAATACATGCAGCTGTATGGCTATTAAAAATGCCAACTTAACTATAATTTGACATATTATTCTAGAGAACACAAACAATAGACTTTAAATAGCAGATGTACATAATACTATTTCATGAAGGACGCATTCTAATTACTGTACGATTCAGCTACAATAACAAAAAACAACCGCAATAGTAAACTCAATGCAGAATTTATGAGCTGTCTGAAAATATATTACAAGCTGTCAGAATAATTACAGCTGAAAGGCATTAGCATTACCCATCAATATATAATCACAGTATGATGTAATGTAAGAGTCCTCAGTGTCAGTACACTGTACCATGACAATAGTACACCTTCTCTTTTGTGCTGTATGCGAATGTAGAAGTAGTATTTCACACAGCCGGTCCACATTACTAGTCATCTCATCCTCCCATACCTGTCCTTCCACAAAAAAAAAAAAAAAAAAAAAACTCTGCCAAGACCTACTGCAGAGACTAAAGTATCTTATGTAACACTCATCTGATCCAATTTCCACAACAAACACCTTCACGTCTGTTCTTAAACAGTCAAACACAGCTCACAGTGATCATTATAAGTCAAATAAATAAATAAAAATAACAGTATTTTAAGATGTTCTTGTTACACATGTCCATATTCCAAAGCCTGCTATTTTAATGTATTCTAATTCAATCATGCTTCTTAAAAACGGAGGTGCTGATACTAATAATCTTTTTATTAGCATTATATTTAGCTAATCCCCTATAAACAGATTTCCAGTGCTTTCAAACGTATCCCATCAGCCCACACTGGGATGACGGCAGTAAATCCATAATGTGATAATGATAAAGCATGCAGTACACAACTTTGATGAGCAAATATTAACATGTTTCCATGTTGCAGATTTAATAGCCATGATTGATTAAGGCCTTTCTAATGCTTCTCTAATAATATCAAAATTTACAACAAGCTTAAATAAATGCCTGACATAGAATTTAAAAGCTTTACCTCTAGTACTAGCCATAGCTGGTCTCCAGTCTTGACATCCTTCTTGTAGAACATCCCAAAGAATTTAACAACATTGGGATGGTCTGAAAGAGCTTTCAGGATGTTATACTCAGCTTCAATTTCTTCATCGATGTCCTAAAAATCAAATGTAAATAAATTAAATCGATTCACAAGTTTGCTGTCTTCAAGAAAAAGAGAGCAAATGTCAGCAAAAAAGGAAAGCTTAAATGTAAAAATGTAAAATGTAAAAACAAAAGAAGAATATTTTGGTAATATGAAGAGAGTTGCTCAAACATTTTCATTAAATATCAATCCTTTTAAGAGATGCATGGCACTGACAAGCTTCCATTTTCATTATTGAGTGTTTTAAAACTATTTGTAATACCTATTCAGCGTTCAGAAACACAAACAGATCCATTGATGAAATAAAGTATTTTATGAGTCATTTTATCTATTGAATTTACCAAAACCGAAGAAGCCATGAAATGCCAACATTAATAAAGCCCCACAGCAGTAAACTACACACAGAGTAGACTAAATGGTATTTTCTGGCTTCAATACCCCCAAGGTTTTTGACCAACTTTTGACAGAAAGCAAATTACTGTTTACTGATTGAACTTGGCGGAAAAACAACCTCTGAATGTAGAATTCTAATAGATATGGCACACTGGGCTTTTCTGTGATGCCTTTTGGCTTCAAAAGTGCTCCGTACATCTATTACAACACTAGATTACTGCATTTCCTGTGCTCGGAAAGCAGTGAAAATAAATATTTGTGAATATCTGAAGTACAATGACCACAGCAGCTGCAGCCTATTAAATTAAGCCTACATTTATTTGATCTAGATGAGTGATTTTAAATACGTTGGCAGCCAAGGCCATTGAAATACTTTCAAGCCTCCATTCAGGACCTTGAAAGGGTGAAACTCCGGTGAAGTAAATGAACACAAATTGCACATTTTCTGAGAAGCCATCTGATCATGATTAGGCTGGGTATATGCTGTTAGAGCCCCTTTTATTTGCCCAGTCACTAAAGGAAAGAGTGCGTGGCTGCAGAAATAATGAGAAAGAGACAGTCACACAGAAAGCCTTTTGGCATTATCTGCAGGATATGGATGTTCTATTCTTAATATGACAGTGGCGAGTGGATGTTCTCAGTGGTCAGTAATTCACCACAGGCCTCACTTAGAGCATAAACACGTTCACAGGTACACATAAATACATGAATACAGATGCACATTGACTGAACCTGAAGGGCCAACCATGACCCTGTCCTTAACCTCAGTGTTCTCTGCAAATATGACTGAGTTTATGACTCAGTGTTTGCTAAAACAAGTCTATGTTTGTTGTCTTTGTTTATTGTAGCCTGACACATGCACTACATATAGGTTAGATCTGTACTCACATGGATTGGATCCAGTATTTTGACTGCGGCTTTGCTGCCATCGACCTTATTATGCACTTTGTAAACTTTCCCATAAGTCCCTTTGCCAATAGTCTCAATGATCTCCCAGGTGTCAGACGGATCTGGGAAGCTGTCAAAGATGATGGATTTCCCTGAGCGAGGAAACATCTTCCCGAGTGATCTCCTGAGGAGAAAGAGCACATATTGCGTCTTGAGACAGATGTTCTTTGCAGTTAAAGACAGTATGCTTGCTGTTTTTCCATTTGACTTATAGTTGATAAAATCTGTTGATATCAAATCTGCACAGGTGTAAAATGTGATTAAGAAAAGCTGTGCAATCACTATGTGACGAGTAAAAGAACCTTTGCATGAAAAATACACAACGGTATGCACTTTAAAGTTAGTCTTAGCACAACTAGGGCTATATTTGCTTGACAGCCATGTTGCGGATTACCAAAGATCCATATAGAAAGAGTAGTAACATGACCTACTTGTCAAAATCAAACTTTTTAATTCCTGACTTAGTGTATCCCTCTTTTGGCTGTTGTGTAAAACTGGGAATGGATGACTTTAGGCTAAAATGTCTATGGAAACTATTATTTCCATGAAATTCATTATAGTGCAAAAGTGTCTTTAGATTATTCAAGCGATCTTTAAACTAATAAAGATTATTCTTTTAAAAACTGTTCACTAAAAAGTTCTGTGTAAAACGAAAATGAGTTATTCTGACTTTATTTTTAAGAATGTGGAATGGAAAAATAAATTTGAACACATTCAATATTTTAACTTGCAGTACAGACTACAATAAGAATAGAAAACAGAAAAAATAAAACACTCAATTTTTGGCTTGTTCCCTGCTCTATAAGGGGTTGCCCAAGCAGAATGAACCCTTATTTACTCTAGCATGTTTTACTAGCTTCTTGCTCCAACCCAGCTCTAAGAGTACAACCCTCAGTGCTGGAAAACACCCACATACTCTCCCAGTCACACACTACGGGCAGTTAAGTGTATCTAATTCACCTATACCACATGACTTGGACTGTCGGGGAAACAGAAACACCCAGAGGAAACCCACACAAACACGGGGAGAACATGCAATTTCCACACAGAAAAATTGAACCAGTGACCTTCTTGCTGTGAAGCAACAGTGTTAACCACTGAGTCATCACCCAATAATAATAAAACATGAATTCATTTATTCATTGTCCTTCAGCTTAATCCCTTATTTTTCAGGGGTCGCCACAGCAAAAACAACCGCCAACTATTCCGGAATATGTTTTACGCAGCGGACACCCTTCAAGCCAAGTACTGGGAAACACCCATACACACTCACATTCACGCACACACACACTCATACACTACAGACAATATTTTGTTTACTCAATTCACTTATACCCGTGTCTTTAGACAGCACCCACACTAACATGGGAAAAACATGTAGAGTCTGCATAGAAATGCAGCTGGCACAGCTGGGACTCAAACCAGGGACCTTCTTTCTGTAAGGTGACAATGCTAACTACTAAGCCACTGTGCTGCCAGCCATAAAACAATTTTAACAATTTAAATCAAATTTGAAAGACATTTCTGGTCAAAACTATCCCGTTTCACAAATGACTGGTTTATTGTCCACTATTTTTAAGAATTATCTGCAAAGACATGCTAAAACAATGTATTTTTGCATTAAAGGCTGTTTTCACTGTGACTTATTGTAACCTACTCTTAATCTAAACCATGCAAGTAGAATTAGTCATACATGTGTTGGAAAATAAATTTCAAAAGTAGCAAAAACAGCACACAAAGTCCAAACAACAATTAAGAAACTTGACGTTCTGTAACTACTGTTAGTAGTAATCGCTGATCTTATTAAGCTGTCTGTCTAACAGACTCAACATTTGTGACCCTTCCGGGTGAAAGTTTAACCAGCTATTTCTTTACTCCAATTAAACCAATTTTAAAGATAAAACCTCAAGTTCAACATGTCACTTACACTCTTTCCTCAAATAATTGCTGAACATTTTGTTGAATAAGTCCATATTGACTCCGTTGAGGCAGTCGTGGCGTGTGAACACTTGTGGAGGAGTTAACCACAGCTAAAGCTAATCTCAACAAGCCATGCCTGGCACCAGAAACAATGCTAAGCAGCAGAAGATATGTTGGGATTAAGAGGAATTAGTTGACTACGCCATGAGCCTTTCCTTATTTAGATCTTCATTGATATAGACGCCAAAGTTAGTTAGGACTACTAAGAATATAACTCCTGGGGGACTACCTCTCCAACCCAAAGAAAGTAACCAGACAGAGTACCTTAAGAAGCATCTTTATCAATTTGTTTGGGGGTTTCACCAAAGAATGCTCTTAAGTTCTGTATGAAACCCATCAGGTTTGATTGAAATCACTAAACAAAGTACAAGTACAAAAACAAGTACAAATTCTGTTTTCTTTAGAATAAACTAGGTATGTTGAAAGATTTCCCTGGTGAAAAATTCAGCTTAAACCAGCCTAGGCTGGTTGGCTGGTTTTAGCTGGTTGACCAGGCTGGCTTTAGAGGGTTTTGGCCATTTCCAGGCTGGTTTCCAGCTATTTCCACCATGGTCTTTGCTGGACAGGTTGGAAAAAGACTAGCTAAATCCAGCTAAAACCAGCTTGACCAGCCTTGTTTAAGCTGGACATAGCTGGTTTTGGCTGGGCAGTGCTTGAAAATGAAAGCCATGTTTGATTATGGATGAAGCTAATCTTTAAAAGGTTGCCAGGCACTTCACACTCCAGTTGTGGACAGGACAATTGCTTTAAAGGAATATTTATTTATTAGGGACCGCCTATGAAGGAGATCTTATAATCACCTGGTGCAAAATGCCCCTTATGTGTCAAGATACACTGTGTAACAAAAGGGAACATGTTGGCATGCCTGATCTTGGTTCAACATTGCACATATATGTTGGGGAAAACCACTAATTCTGTTATAAAGCGTCATTTGAGCATGATAGGGCATTATCTGTCATTACAAATGCCAGGTGATTAGCCTTCTAAACAGAGGCCACACAGCCTGTAACTGAGCACATGCACAGCTCAATGCAAACTCCCCAAAGAACCTCCAGACATGTTCAATAATGAATTGAGCTTCTATATGTTACAAAACTCCATGACACAGAGACACCGGGGAAAACGGAAGATAAGGCTAAAGCCCACCTCCACACTCACAAATTACAAGACATTGGGTGTGAGTGTGTAAGCCGATCTCCCCTACGTGAGGTACTTAGAGCTTATGAGCTGCATTAGCGTATGCATTTTTTAGTGAGGCAAGCTTCACTGTTGCTGCTCATACACGGTTTGAGGCATTAATGATAATGGGCTCGTAATTTGGGTCAGTACGCAACCACCACAGAACACCCTATCAGCCACCTCATAACACTTGGGGAACCTCGAAGACCTCAAAGACCCCTTCATATTTTGGCATGAGTTTTGCATTGACAAACAACAAAGAGCTAGGTGAAGCAAAGTTAAGGTTGTATAGACTCATAAATTCAACAAGACTTTCATCAGAGATGCTGGTCCATACGGATAAGATGGCATCAAACAGTTCAGGCAGATTATTTAACTGCCCATTCATGATGTAAACATCCTCTGCCACCAACCTTCCCAAACATGCTCAACTGGATCAACATCCATTGACTATGGAAGGCATTTAAGTATACTGAACTCATTATCATGTTCTAGATTATAACTAACTCTATAGATGGTTGTGTGTGATAATACCAGTAGATCAGCAGCTATAAAAATAGTCTGACCAGCCCATTTGTCCAATCCGCATTAAAGACAGTTGAACATGTAACTAATGAAGTATAAACACTGGAACTACCAGCCTGATCTCACAAAGAAACGCAACTATTTTACATATTGTCAGAAAAGTGACTAATTTGTACAAATTCTTATATTTTCCTTTATATGAAAACAGACAATCTTTAAGGGGTGGTGTGCACCAAAACTCACCCCTAAACCAACCTCGAAGATTGTACAAAATTATATGAATTAGCCACTAATTTAAAAAGTTACGAATTGATGTGAGATTGTGTTGGAACTACCAGAAATCTAAACTGCTAGAATTACCATGCTGGTCATATAAGACTGTACCAAATACATTTTTGTCATGATTTATTTACATTTAGATTTTTGAGATTTTAGAATTAAGCTTTGAACAACTGTCATCATATTTGATGAAGTCATTACCTAAAAATACAATGTTTTTTGTAATATAGCCTATAATTGCAATAGTATCTGGATGCAGCCTTTATGATGCAAGCTGAGAGTGCATCACTCAGCGATGCAATGTCACGCCCCATTCAAACGGGGCTTCAGCGTCAACGCTTGACTGAAGGCGTGTCTGAAGTTGGGGCTGAAGTGATCGTCATAGAAGCGTCAGCCAATGAAATTCAGTCAGCAATAGGCCACTGTCTAGCTGGTGTATTTGCATACAGCAATCTGATTGGCTGACGCTTCCGTTGACGCTTGAAAAGTTGAGCTGGTCCCAACTTCTGAAGCGAGCAACGCCTCTGAAGCGGCGCCGACGGATCCACAATGCAGTTCGGCAATGCTTGACGTCACCCATTCAAAGTGAATGGGAAGCGTTGAAGCTGACGCCCCGTGTGAATGGAGCGTCAGACACAATGCACTCAATGGAGTGAGTGACGTCACTGTGATGGGTAGGGTTAGGGGTGGGGTTAGGAGAGCCCATTAAAAAGCATTGGATGCAGCTCAGATTGCACTGCACCAGGTCTGCATCAAGATCCCTCTCTTGAATTTTGTACGAGTTACTAGACTGTCCTGCAAGAGGGGCACAACCCTGCTAAAAAAACAGCTTAAACCAGCCTAGGCTGGTTGAATGGTTTTAGCTGGTCGGCCAGGGGTGCGTTTACAAAATCGTTAGCCAACTAAGGTCATCACAAACATAGTTCATTGATTTGGTGTTTCCCAAATCCATCATTACAATGAACATTCGCAAACTTGCACGTTTTCAACTACACCTCTAGAGCAGTATTTAGAAGCATAGTTTCTGGCTGTGTTCTATTCCCAGTAATCCCCCCTATGCCCTATTCATTTAGAACGATCCAACATTTAAACATTTAAAAAATAACTAAAGTCCTCACTTTTAGGTGTAATATTCTAAGTATTTTTACAGTTCAGTTTTAGCAATCTTCACACTGACAATTGCGCTCCCTTCGCAGTGTACTTAGATAACACTTATGTCATTTTGAACACAGCCGTGGCTCATGGCGAAAGCTATAGGTGATCTATTATTTAAAAGCAGAATTTACGTTACGTCTCCAAAGCTTCTGAAAACAAACAACACAGCATACGTTAATGCCTTTAATTTATAGAAGGTTATTTATTAAGTATCTGTACTGTATATGACATGGGCCTATAGTGGTTAGAACATTTCTGCAGTTGTTTGAATGTGTCCAATTGTAAAAGTAGAATGAAAAAGCAATATCCTACTTAATTATAATCGTACAATAAAAATATTAATAATAATAGTAATAATTAGGATTTTTTTCCTTTTCTTAATAAATGGTTTACTGTAAATTACAACCATTCGCCTAACGATTTATATGATTTTTATATGAGATTACATGTTAGCTAAGTGGTTTTTATGTTTTAGAATAGAATATGGCATATTCTTAATAATATTTGCAAGTGCATGTTTTTACCATAACTAATATTGGAATTTTTGAATGTGTCTCTGTGTGTGTGAAACAGTATAATTTGCACAAAAAGTATGGGGTTTTTCTCAGCTTTTTCTCTACTCCACCCCATTTTACAGCACCATTATGGACGTTTTACATTATAGCAAACATGGATCTGTAACAAGTTTTGGGAAACAATCGTCCCTACATCGTTCTTTTCCCAAATGATGCATGGTATGCTATGATAGTTTAGCCAGGAGTTACGTCGTTGCTTGGTAAACACACCCCAGCCTGGTTTTATAGGGGTTTTGGCCATTCCAGGTTGACCAGCCTAGCCAAACTGGGGGCCCAGACAAAACCAGCTTAAACCAGGCTGGTCAAGCTGGCTATAAATGGTTTTAGCTGGTCAAGCTGGTTAAAGATGGTTTTAGCTGGTCATGTTCCATAATATTGAATTACATCATATATAAATGGTCAACATTACTGCCTCAGCAGTTCTTGTGTTAAGTGGTACATAAAGATAGATTTCTCAAAGCATCATTCCACTTAACAGCATAGAGTTGAGAGTTGGTAATATTCTGTTTGGTATTCAAATCAGGTAGTTTAAAATTGCAAAATTTGTGTGCTACATTACACATAATGGATCATCTCCATTATTTAAAAATATATATATATATTACCATTTCGATAGAATGAACACAAACAACTCTTACTAATAGAATTTTGTTTACCACAGCAATGATACAGAGGAAATGGCAAAAAGCAGTGATTTTTTTTCTGAATGTGGTACAACCTATAATGAGCCTAATTTGCATAGAACCTATAATGAGCCTAATTTGCTTTCACAAGAATGACAATGAGCTCATTTAAATGTGGCACAGTGCTATTTCTGCACCTTTAGCACCTGGCTACACAATATCGCAGGTGTGCAAAAGTGATAATGTGCAAAAAGTGCCACAATTGTAAATGTTGTGCAATAGTGAATTCATCCGGCATTTGCATACCTGTTTTGGCCAGATGTCATCTCTGCCTGCTTTGCATCCAGAGAGCAACTTCATGAAAGGCGCTCTGAAACATTTCAAGATAATACATTCCACACTATGGCGAGGCTTGTCTCCTTATTTCACCTTTTTAAAGAACAAAAGTCGAAGCAACTTGAGGAGAGCAAAGAAACAAGAGCCAGGACCGCCAGGGAAAGAAAGACAAGAGACCTGAGCTAATTTACAAGGCTGTGAGCGGGTTGAAGTTTCAGTTTAACCTTTGCAGGGCAAAGCATAGACAGGAAAAATATACAAAGTCTTGTAAGACGGCATATAACGAAAGGGATAAATAAAGAGATAGTTCACCCAAAAATGACAATTAACTCATCATTGACTTACTCTTGTGTGATTTCA